GACTTAAAAAGCACTTTCACAAGCAAAAAAAAATAAGTGAAGTTGTCTGCCTGGTTTCTGGTCCAGGCCCCTATGAAAGTCAATAAGGCAACTGTAAAGTATAACTCAGCAATAGTGATTTTTGCAGAGGTATCACAGTTAATATCTACAAATATTCCAATAGAATCAAAATTTCATTTAGCTAACAGTTACACTATATGTATAAATATGTTGGAATGTCAAGTCCACTCAGTCAAGCCATAAAATAATGTAGTTATCCAGATGTTTTCCATGAAGCCAAATTGGCTCAGCATCTCAGAGTTATACAATGCTGCACACAATTACACGAGGTCTGTGTATTCAACTCTCCCCTTGAGCTCAAAAGCCTTACCAGCTATTTATTCACCTAAAGCAAGTATTCTTTTGCCACCTTGCAACATTTTCACTTCATGTCACTGAGACTCCCTGAACGCACAGTCACAAAACCATTATGTCTACATGTCCACTGGTTCTTGCCAGCTCCCAGCTCCTCCCTATTTCCTAACCCCAGAGACAGGCAAGATAAAGAGAGAGCAAGGGCAAAGCCACCTGGGTTGACCCCTTGCATTAAAAGTGCTTCCTCTCTCCCACTTCCAGCAGCAGGCCATTCGAGCACCTGGAAGCCGTCCTGTCGTCCTGTCGTGTGTGCATGCTAAAAGCTGCCTTTGCCTGAGCGTTTGCTTTGTGAATGAGGTCACTTTAAGACACAATGGACGTGATATGATGACAAGACTTGGTCTTTTTCCTCATTAAGACATTACGTAAAATACAGAATTAGATATGGTCCCTCATGAAGAAATTTAGTTAGCATTTAAAGTTCATAATCATCATTACATAGTCAATGGTAATCAGTAGCAAGAGACTTACCGTGAATATATTGAGGTATAAAGGAAAAGCAGGAAGAAGAAAATTGCTTACCTAGTTCACAAAGGTACTGGGAAGCTTACTGCTTCTAAAGCACTTGAACTGCAGACACAAAGCATTATCTTCTTACCATGACACTGTAACAGAAGTCCATGCAGTCCCATCTTCCATTAACTGAACTTGGATGTTGTATGCATTTGATAATTATGATAATGGGTGATGTAGTTATAGGATCCCCTCCACAGGGCATTTTGTCCATGAGTAAAATTGTCTTTATCCTATAGAAGAAAATATTTTTCAGCTTGAAATAAGTTATTTTTTTCATCAGTGGGTCATAAACTGTGCCTTTGGCTGTGGTGTGTAAAAGTGTCTTTGAGACAAGTTCCTGTCTTAAGAGGTTTCTTTAAAAAAAAAAGAGAATGAAACTTCCATTTGTACCACGTGGCACTATCTTATCTGTTATCTAGACTGTGTTACCAGTTCAGATCCTTTACTGTTGGGTGAATTGAGTTTAAAGGTAGATAAAACAAAGCTATAGTTACACTATGTAAGCTGATCTAGGGGGGAAAAAATTAACAGGCAGTTTACCTACCATGACATTGTACACAGAACTTGTGTTCATTTTGCTTAGTTCTAGAAATCTTCTATAATTCATACTCCACATAAATGTGTGAAGTTTTTAATTACCTTATAATTAATTTGGGGTTTATTTGAGAACAACAAAGAATCAAAAGTTCATGAAGCTTGTTATATAAGGTCCACATTGTGAAATAAATCAACCTTTTAATGTTGCTTTATTTTTTGTGGGATTTTTTTTTTTTTAGCTTTTTATCTATGACAAAAAAAATACATTTTGCAATTTTTGCAAATACATCTGCTAAAAAAATTGCAATTTTCCTACTGAATTTTTTTATTAAAACTTGAAAACTTTAGTTTAAAAAGCTACACTACTTACAAACTAGTTTCTTTATAAGAACTATGTGCCATTCAAGGTTTTCATTTCTACCAAATAACTGTTAAAATATTTCTGTTCATACATTGAGTATTTAGCAGCAACTGTCTTCTCTAGTACTACAGTCACCCCATAAGAATTTAAAAGATGAATGTAGGTCTCTCTTTCACCAAAGTAGATATTGATGCTTGTACATATATTTCAATAAATCACTGATGCAAAATTTTCTTGACTCCTTTTCTCAGCCACTTTTGAAAAGTTGAATTCAGACACTTTGGAAAAGGTAATCTTTGTACTGTAAATAAAAGGAAGATACAGAAATTCGCATAGCTCTCTCTCTCTGTCTGAAGAAGGAAGAAAAGGAGGAGGAAGAGGAGGAGGAGGAGGAGGAGGAGGAGGAGGAGGAGGAGGAGGAGGAGGAGGAGGAGGAGGAGGAGAGGAGGAGGAGGAGGAGGAGGAGGAGGAGGAGGAAAAGGAGGAGGAGAAGGAAGAGGAGGAGGAGGAGGAGGAGGAGGAGGAGGAGGAGGAGGAGGAGGAGGAGGAGGAGGAGACCAAGAAGATTAATATCACCTATAGCCTATTCTATTTTCCTCAAAATGAAAAACTTAGTAGCTCAAAATAAAAAATAAAGGTTAGTTTCTATTACTTTCCAACAAAGTGGCACACTGCAAAGGACTGCAAAAGATCTTTTGAGGAAAAGCTCTGCATAAATACAATGAGGGTTTTCCAAAAGATTGGGCAAATTTGAAAAACACAAGCTAACATAATAATTAAAAGATGTAAGATCTTAACATATACATAACTATTTGAGGAAAGATTCTTAGATTTTCTAGTAACAGAGTTGTATCTTTGCTAAAAGTGTTTTGACTCAATTAGTTAAACGTTTAGAAAGAAATCCCAAGATTGAATTGGAAAGGAAACATAAATGTGCAGGATAAAAGGCTCATTTGATAAAAACAAAAAAAAAAAAAAAAAACACCTGTCCAGCATATGGTTTCATGTGTAGATGCTAGTACTGGCATCATTTATCTCTCACTGCTTTGCAAACATAAAATGTAATGTCACATAAAACTTTTTTATAGCTAAGGGATCTCTGTTCTGTTTTGCCTCTCAGCTAATGCAATTTTATTATTTACTGTAGGTAGTCCATAACTCATGAAACTTATTTATATATGCAATATATTTTATTTCTATCTTTATCTCCAATATTCAATTTTATTAAAAATCCAGTCATCTAACATTGCACTTTCATAAATACTTACAGGTTTGGCTGACCAACTTATGTTATTGTCTTGCTACAGAAGAGAGTTTTAGAATTTATTTAGAATTTCTTCAAATCGTGGAAATGAAGGTGTCTCACTTCTGGAAGGATCAATCAGTGCAGACCTTATGTATCATGTTTAATGAAAGTAAAATTTCCAATCATTTAAGTAAGAATAAACTGAGCTTGGAATTTTAGACTACTTTCTTACCATGAAAACAAACAACTATATCTGGAAAGTCAAGAAAATAACTAAAAAATGACTGTCATTAATTTTAATTTTCTACAGTAATCCCCATTCATAATAATTTATTTTCAAGTGTTTAATCTCACTCATACAGTGTGTTTCATAAGAATGTTGTGTCATTTGAATACAAAGCAAACAAAACTATTGTTTTGTCAAATTACTCAATTAATATTAGTACCACAGATAAAGAACCAATGGTGAAAAAGGAGATAAACTTCAGTATCTACTAGTATACTTCTGTTACATTCACCATCAATTATTTCAGTCTTCATTAATTAGTTATATGAGACACAAACATGTGTTCTTCAAGGAGTTGGCCTCATTATAATTAGATAAGTATGGCTTTGTAGGGATCTTCTCAACATATTATATAACTCACATACAGGATAACTTGTAATCATGCCACTCTTTATTATAATTTCACTATGTTATTAAACCAGAATCTCATTAATAGGGAAATGATAATGGAATAAAGTTTTCTCAGTATAAGATTATTTTTTTATAACAAAGAGAAATAGAAAAAATCCTATGAGAAAGTTTGGAATAAAAGAATATCAAAGATGTTATCATTTTTCATATGATTTAATAGCTTAGTTATAAATTTAGCTGAACTAACACAGCTTTAAATCTGATGGCAGGTAATTTTTATTCAGCTCTTAGTGATAAGCTGAAGTCATTGCTCTTTTTCACTCTATAATAAATATACTCCAGATGTAGGTAAATGAGTTTTTAACTTATCTAGGCAGCCTTTTAGCTTTTAGACAAACTTAGCTCTTGTTCTAATTACTAGCTAATATAAGAATCATTACACTGTGTTTTCCAGTTAATAGAAAAAGCAGCCAATACTTTTAATGGGGGGGGGTGATATTTTAAAAAATAAGATTTGTACAGATTTTTCTCATCACTCTTTGAAATCTACAGTCTACCCACCGCCAGTGGGGAACCCTACCATGGTCAAATCACAATGGTCCAGGTGCTCCATGAGACCTAACATCCTCCTGCAGCAATGGGAATGAAACCTTACCTAAGAGGCTGTGCTGTAAATGATATCAGCCTCCCTGACTAGGATACAGGCCCACTGAATTGTTTTCTCTGTTAAGTATGACATACACTGAAGGGTAAAATTAATCGCTAGCTTCCAGGAGAAAGATATAATTTTCAGATTACTTTACCAAAACCTGCTCAGAAATTTTCTTTTGGAAGTCAAAATCCCCTCTTTTATAGTCTCAGTAACTAATGATTAAGTTAAGATGTTAGTTTTTACTAGACAAATAATTAAAATAGCATTTATTTTTTATTTTTTGTCCAATCAGTCTAAAGATAAGATAGCTCATTTTAAGACATTTCAGGCTCTTTCTTTACAGAAGAATTCATTATAATCATTCTCAAAATCTTTTAAATATTTTTAAGATTTATTATCCAAATAAATATATATATATATATGATTATGCATGTAAAAAGATCTATATAATCATGTAAATAAAACACTACAGCCTGTCCTCAAAGAGATATATGAAAATAATATCTAGACTTTTAGCAGACTTTACCGCTTATTGCATGTTTTGGCTTTTGTCCTTGCAATTTCATTTCATGCTCTGCTCCTCCTTACCTTACAGAATCCAGCCACATTGATCTCTCTGCTCCACAACCATATGTAATCCTCCCTGCTGCTCCCTTTCCTGGAATGCTCCTCTTTCCTCTCTTTGAATGGGTGCTACTTCTCTCTTGGGACTCAGCTCATAGATTACCTCCTCAATCAGGCTTTATCCAGTAATTTGTCAGAAGTGTGAACCTCCTTGTTATTTTCATAGTTTCTACTTCAAAATTCTGTTTGTGTCTTTTTTATACCAACCATAATTTGTCAATTTTATATTTATTTGTCTCCCATTTGATTGCATGCTCCTCTGGGAAGGAATCAAAATGGCTTGTCCTATAGTATATCATGAGTACATGTTTCTGTGCCTGGCTCTTCTCAATAAACATTGTTCAGTGAATAAATTGATACCCAAAAAGAGGTCACAAAGGAAAATTATTTTATTACTTTATGTTGGCATGCCATTTTTTAAAACAAATGTTAAATGGCAGCCTTTTTACAATTGTAAACACTAAGTCTTCCAAAGCAATTTCTTTTATAAAATTAGTGTTAATGTTTCAAGAATTCCCTCTCACCAATGAAATGAAGTTAAAGTTTCTTACAGTGACACGGAAAGCCTCCATAACTGGTCCCAACAGCCCTGCCAGTTCTATTGGCCTCCATACCCTGCTTCCCTCTTCATGTTCTAACAGTGAGTGGCAAGCTTTGTTGATCTCTATGCCTGGGACAGAATAGGCACTCCACAAATATGTGATGAATCAGCTGCTGGTGGGTCCTGCACACACCTGCCTGCTTGATTGTGTCAGTTGAGAGTGGACAACTAGTCAGAGACCAGATCTGGAAAGAAGACTTTAGGAATTAAAGTCTTTAAAGCAATGGAAGCTCTAGACTAGCTGTGAGCAGGGGAATGACATAAGGAAGGGCCCCTCTGAGGAAAGCAGCACTTGCATCCTTCCTGCATTGCCTTAACTTAGCCTGTCTTTACTAGTATTAGGATCAGCTCTGAGGGTGACTTCACCAACCACCATGTGGGGAGAGGACAGACTCTGGAAAATATTTCTAGCTGGTAGTTTCTGCTTGAGTTGCATCTTGTACACTTTCAGTTCTGTCTTTTATGGAGCACATAAGTTTCGAGTAACTCCCAAAGCCACCCAAGTGAAAATAAATCAAGAAAGACTGCGTTTTTCACTTCACTTCTCTTCATGTCCTTAGGCAGGAAGAATGCCAGCATGCGGGTCCATGTCTTTGCCAGTGCGCATTTATCTGTGAAGCACTAATGAGTTTTCAATGACTTTCATCATTTTTCAAAGTACAATAAGCATGAGAACAGACAAACAAAAACCTCCCATTTAGGGTACAAAGAGCTTTCAACTTTATATTATTTGTTGAAATGTTATATACTGATATAATACTTACTAATGTTTGTATTGATAATGATTATACATCTTTGAATAAGAAATGCCAGGGCAAATTTTATTATTATTATTATCAAAGAACTCTTCATGAAAAAAAAAAATCTCTAAAAGTCTTTGGGGCCCTAGTCAGGTTGGCTCAGTGGACAGAGCCTGTGGACTGAAAGGTCCCCGGTTCAATTTCAGTCAAGGGCGCATGCCTGGGTTGTAGACTTTTTCTGATGTGCAGGAGGCAGTCAATCAATGATTCCCTTTCAACATTGATGTTTCCATCTCTCTTTTCCTCTCCCTTCCTCTCTGAAATCAATAAAAAAAATATTTTAAAAATAATAATAAAAAATAAAAGTCTTTTAGTAACTTTTTTATAATAAATATGCATGAAACTAATCATGAATTATTTCTTTCCTTTACAGTATTATTTCCTGGTGCTGGGGTGTTTTTTTAATGGGTTAGATATTAAAACTTCCTCATGACTGTTAGCTAGGATCAGTTGTACTCATTTGTCAAAACAATCTCAAGCTAATTTGACAACATAAACACAGCATGTGCAAAGTGATGAAGGTACATTGTTCTTTGGATATAGCAGGCAGCTAGGCAATGACTAGGCATCACATGTCTATTATTTTTCTAAAATAAATTTTTGTAACGTTTATATAAAATCCGAATTCAAAATCAGCGCTTCCCAAAACTTCATGAAATAATCTGTAGGTGCTGACATAAGAATAGCCTCTGAGCTGAGAAGAACAGAGTTCACATGTCAAAACTGGTTGCATTTTGGAAAATGGTAACACCTGGGAGTCAAGCTAAACATGCTCTCATCAGTCAACCTCAGCTCCTCACCCTCGGTTCTCAGAAGAGGACGGGGATGAAAAAGAAATGGAGGCAATCTGAAGTTTGCAAGATCAGGCCAGGCACCATCTGGGCTCTGTAGGAGGGCTGGTGGAGGAAAGGGAACATGATGGCATATGCTCTGAAAGTACAGATTGTAGAGAAGGGTAGCACTGTTGTTTTGCAGACAAGTTACTACACTTATGTTGCAAATGAGCCCTCTGAGCCTGGGAAGAAAGAGAACACTCCGGTTTCCAGTTAGCTGCCTTGCAATATTCTCCAACACTGAAGGGGTGGGGATGGGAGAGGCAACGTGCCTTTATTATAGCCCCAATAGGTATAAATAAGTGTTCATGTGAAAATCTCTTAACAGCTGACTAAGAATCTTAGGGGAGGGACCATGTCTAAAATGTCTCCTGTAATCCCACAGAAATGCAATGCTGGGCCTGTGAGAGTGGAGGAAGCACTGTATTTGGGACTTAAACATCTGGGTTTAATTACCATCTGTGTTATTGTGAGAAAGTCAACCTCTCTCCACATTTACAAAAGAAAAGAAAGGGGAGGGGGTACTGGTTAATGCAGTCCAGCTTGTTTTTCAAAGATCTTTATCAGAATTAATAGTTTAATATATATAAAGATGCTACATAAACTAAAGATATTAGACCTGGAACAGAAGGGCAACAAATAGTTGTTGATAGACTGGTTTCTTGATTTGGATATAATCATAACTCATCTATGGAAGGATTTCCTTCCGTTTACTTCAGGGTTTCTCGACTTCAGCACTACTGACATTTTGAACCAAGTAACTTCCCTCTGAGATGGAGGGGTGGGGTGGGGGTTGCTTGTGCATTGTGGAATGTTTGGAAGCAAAACAACCCCATTACCTCAACCCATTAGATGTCAGTAGCAGCCCCTAACTTACCCCAATGAGCTGGGGAAACCAAAAATTTTTAGGCATTGCCAGATGTTCCCAGGGGTGAGGGGTTTGGAGTGTGGGCAAAGTTATCCTCCATTTAACTGATTTAACTTAGAGACCAATTGCAGTACATTCTGCAGAAGTCATAGGAGGTTTGTACTACCTACCCCCTGAACCATCCATGATCGTGGGCAGTGATTATCTGAGATTAGTCTGTGGAAAGCTCTGGGCTAAGCTATTTGCCTAGATTTATCATCTGATCCTACAGCAACGAGGAAGTTCAAGTAATCCTCATTTTGTGGGTGAAGAAATTGAGGCTTCAAGGGTCAAAGTGGCTTGCCCTGATTAAAAGTTAGAATAAAGCAGAGTTTGTGTCTGGATCCTGCTCTGCAGGATTCCTGAGGCTTTGCTCTTAACCAATCCCATGATACTTCCTCACATAAGATAAGATGATCCAAAGAGCCCCACTCTCTGCCGAATATAACACAACACTTGCCAAGGTGAACCTGACGTTAACCCTCCACAAGATAAAGCACACAGCCATCTGAGGGCTGTGGCTGCTCAGTAAGGATCAATTACACAAGCCAGGGAACTAGGCGAGGCATAACATATCAGGCATGTCTGGAGGGAGACAGGCAGCAAGTCCTAACGTATTCATGCATAATCTTCATTGGATTCCACAGAAACAGGTTTTTGTGGGGAAATTTTACTTATTTTGTTACGATTTATACTACTATTTATATTTTCTTGCATTGGTGATATGAAAAGAGATGAAGCTGTCCAAAAGTAGGAAATAAAATTGTTGAGAACAGTTGATTAAGATAGATATTACTTGATAGATCTGAATGCTGAAGGCTTTTCTGTGGGTTCAATGAGCTCCTGGCAAATGCTACCTCTGGTCACTAAGCATCTCCATGGGTATGCCTTGCCAGGTACTTAACAAAAAGTTAATGCTCGATCGTAATCTAGGATTTAGGCTCTTTCAAAATACAGAAGCTGCTGATATTATTCCCAAATCCTAGGCCCAAAAATGTGGAGAAGGGAATGTTGAGCAGTACAAATCGTAGAAGTGAAGAGAGGGCAAAAGAAAACTTTAATTACAGGCTGATGTATAACTCGGATCATCCTACATGTAAGGTCAATCATTAATGCCCACTGAAAAAGTAACCTGGATAACAAAGGTATTTAGTTTCTTAAGAGATCCATCTCTTGTGGATGATTCCTTCTCACCTGACCATGGACCAGATTGTGGTTGCTAATTTACTACAAGGAAGCCTGACTTCTTTTCTCTACAGCTTCTAATCTGCTCCCCCAATCAATCAGAATTCCTAATGCCTACAATTTGATACATGTATTGATTTTCTAAATAATAATTTTGAATCTTGATAATGTGAGGAGCATGTCTTTCTACCAATAATAAGGACACATTCGTGTTCCTCCAGGGGGCAGAAGATCTGGCATCCAGAGGTTCAGTCTGAGCACATGCATACAAGGCCTCGGTACAGTTTTGTCTTCAGCTTCCACAGTCAGTCAGCATCACATGTGTCAGTCCACATCACCACCCTTGCATCTGGGGAGTCCCTCTGTGCTTGCTCCCCAGAGGCATTTTATACCTGAGAGTCTTATTGTGCCTTGTTACCAACTTTCATCTGTTTCACACCAAGTAGCAGATGATGTAAGTGCCTAAATTCTAGAGAAAACAGAATCCCTTCTGTTACAAAGTACAGGAACCCATTAGTTTAAGCAAAACTGGGAAGTTACTATCTTCCTTAAATGAAAAACTTTAGGTATAAATGGAACCAAAGTACATGAGGGTTCAGGGACCCTCCCAATCCATCAGCACGATACTTGTAGGTTATTTAAAATTTTGTTTTTCTCATTTATTGGATTGTTAAACACACACACACACACACACACACA